GGTAGTTTAGGTGACTAAGTCTGTCCAATACAACGGTATTGTGCCACGTGGGTGGGTTCCCGTTGTGTCCGCCACCATGGCGTTAAGTTTAAGGCGTGGGCCCGCCACTTAACGGTTCTAGGTCATATAACGTGTATGGCTTAGGATGGAGTAACACGTATCGTGCTGGTGTAAGGCTAAATCATGAATTTTGGAAAAGCTTTGTTGCGGGTAATAAATCGGGTACTTATGTATCGCGTGCCATGCTCTTACATGATTATTATTTCGCATCATGTGGGTAAAGTGTACAAACTCTGCAGAGTAAAAACTAATTGATTAGCCGTGCTCGCGGACATGAGCGGCGTGTGGATATATATTGAGTATAGACTTATGTTTATTCTTCTAAATGCTGAAATTTACCTTTAAATTATGATGAGATTTGAGAATGATCTCCTTGCTGCCATGAAAGGCAATGAGGTGCATATTTATACATGATTAATGCCTATTTTGATGCCCAATATGTCAAGTACTAGCTTGCTGAAATTTATTTGAAAGTAAACCTGATTTGGAAATGTTTTATGCAAATAAAACTTGCTTTATGCTAAAAAGAACCATATTATGCCTTCCTTGATTATATGCCTTGCAAGTAGGGTGTTAGGCTTGTCTTGGTGCTTGCCAGTATATTATTTCTAATAATGTACTGACTCTTGCTGTGGAATTAACCTTTTGCTTGCAGGATTTAGACTTAGCCTTTGAGTGATGCGGGTGATCGACTGCTTCTTCTAGGACTTGAACTTAATGGGGTAAACCCCTAGTCGGTGTGCTTGTGGATTGGGTAGACAAGCTTCCGCTGTTCTATATATTTATTTGGCCGGTCGGCCAACGTAACTAAAGTAGATGTAGTTTATAATCACTTTCATCTTATTTGTGTTTGCTATGTATAATCATGCTTGAGATGAAAGTGTGAATCTAGTGCACATCCTAGGAACTAGATTCACATGAGTATGAGTTAAGAATATTTGAGATGTTGAAGATCTTTAGCCATTTTTGTCAAGTCTCCTGAATGTGTAACACATTTGGTCGCCGCCTTCGAGTGGTTTGATGGGCATATCTCAGGCTGAAGTTGACTGGCAGGCTAAAGGCCTAGCAATGTCTCCAATATTCTTCTCTCGAGGCATCGGATGTTTCATTATGTTTGTTCGATGACTTGAATTATTCACTTCATCTCTCAAATATAATGAAGGGTCCGGAAAGCCTACGACAAAAACACTTGGCGATACTGTGCACCTGATATCAGCTTTGTTGAAGTAGAGGTAATGGGAGGATCGCTACGCCGCTGGCCGAGGACCAGGTAGTAGTCGTAACTCGACCACTTGAAGTGGAAGTAGTGGGAGAATCGCTACACCTCTGGTCGAGAACCAGGTAGTAGTCGTAACCCGACCACTAGAGGTGGAAATAGTGGGAGAATCGCTACACCTCTGGTCGAGAACCAGGTAGTAGTCGTAACTCGACCACTAGAAGTAAATGTACGAGAGATCGCTATGATTGATTGGTTGAGAACCAGTGAGTAGGTGTCTCTCGATCATTTGAAGTTGGTACGAGGGCCACTATGCTGCCGGTCGAGGACCAGTCGCAGTTGTCCCTCAACCATGTGGAGTCATTTGAAGTCGTGGTGCGAGGACCACTAAGCTGCTGCTGTAGTCATACCTCGATCATCTGGTGCGAGTGATTGCTACCTTTTACTGGTTTGAGAACCAGCGAGCGAGTAAAATTATCTCTCGAACAGCAATGGAAGTGCTAGAGTTGGTTTATTACATGTGTATCTCATGTGGCCAGCATGACTCACACACCCAACTTGTAGCATATCCGGATGTCCATTCACAATCATGTCGGGTGATCAAGCCGACGGCGTTTGCGAGGAATTATCCGTTAACAACCTTTTCTCGAGTAGTCCAGCCATGGCCGGTGCTATGAGATAGGTCGTCGGTCTTCGTTGGTAGGTTGGGTGTGACGACTCAGCATTTTTCGAGAATGTTCTCGATAATGCGGTGTACTCGACCACAACCTACTCGAGTGCTCAATTGTTCCTGAAAAATATTTTCTAGAAGGCAAGACATATAGTAGAGAATATCGAGTATGTACTCAAAAAACTGTATGGATCTTCTAGTATTATTAGGATATAACGAGCATATTAAATATCAGGTATTATGTAAACCGTAAATAAACATGATTCATACAGAAGAGAATAGAGCGAGCCTCCAGCGTTACACCGTAGTCGATTTAACATCGGGGACACTTGCGCAACAGATATTGTATAAAAACATGCTCTAGGTAAACATAATAAATTATTGATCTGACAATATCGTATAAATTGTAAAAATAGGTACGATAAAATGCATGTAAAATATTGCGTACCTTTGTAGATACATGCCAGATGTATCTACGAAATTAATAAATCAATTGAATTAATTAATCTACTAATTACCTTGATTAGCCTTGGTAGTTGGTCTGGATCGTTTTATGGACGCTTAATACAGGCACGTACGGGTGGCCCACCGACATACGTATATACGTACCTAAGGCAAAATAGCCTTTGGTACATTGTAAGTGTTACTGTATGTGCATGGGTCCCATGGTATGCATGTATAATATACGTGTAGATGGCAATGCAGTCAGCCGGCTGCTTGGTTGGCAGGTCGGACGACGGGTAATTGACTCCGATCTGATGTAAGCTGATATGTCTGAATCCGATGAGGGCACCTCGTCGATTCTCAGAATAGGCTAACCGTCAGACTGATCTCGGATGTTGTCAATACCTGATGATGGTAGTTCGTCGAACTTTTTGGCGGTGGATGTCGGTTCAGAGGTAGTCGATCCGGGCAAGGCCTCACGGTTGACAACTTTGAACCGATACCCTCCATGGTGATGACGTCTTGAAGGTTGGTCGATCTCGAGAGATCGAATTGTTGACGACGATGATGGTTCTGATCTGGTTAGGTTGGATCTCCCCCTCATCTGAAGTCGTTGAGTAGCTCATTGTCGGAGAATCCATCTCTTAAACCCATCTCGTCGAAACCTTGAAGCACCAAAAGGTCCCCTACCTGGCGCGCCACTGTCGACGTTTGATGTCGCGATTCCGGTATTTGCATAGTATGGGGATCGTTGGTACTAGGATATACGCGAGACTGAGGTAAAAGAGACGGAGACGAGGATTTTTATACAGGTTCGGGCCCCTGAATTGTCAGGTAATAGCCCTACATCCTGTTGGCCGAAGCTGGTATTGCTCTTATTCACCATAATCACACCAGTACAATATTTGGGGTAGCATATCTAACTGTTGTCGACATGGCGGTCTGTAGTTCTGACTCGTAGTCGACAACAGGGTAGTCTTCCTCCTCGAATCCGTGCCCGGCGAGATCAGAGATAACGCTTTCGTCTCTCCTGACAGTATCTGGAGACACTATAGGGGACTAGCCGTGCTTATCCCTAAAGTCGATATCCGGCGTCTTATCTTGGCGTATGTTGGCTTGTATGTTGATCTTCTGTCTTCTATGGTGGGTGTTGATTGAGGTGGTCGTGTCCCTTCTCCTCCTAGGGGGCCTTGTATTTATACACATAGGTGTCCCCTTGTCTAAGTAAAACTAGAGAAACCAATATGGATACAATCCGAGCAGTCCTTGTCGTTTCCACGTAAAACTCTGGTTGTATTTCTTTATCCGGAACTCTCTCGAGGTCAGTTTTCGTATAAGACATGGTATGTGGTGGGTCCTGCCGAGATTTAGTCGACTACTATTAGGTATATGGTATCCATAACCCTGATAGAAATATAATCATGTGTGATCTTATTGTAAAGATTTAATTGTAACGAATATAACGATGTGATTGGATCATAGATTGAACAATTAGTTTAAGAGAAAAATCGTTTGAAAACTAGTAGCGGCAGGAGGCGCGGGCGTCCGATTTTTCCTTCTGACGTCGGATGCCCGGCGCGCAGCATTTACCGCATCTTTCTCGGGGGCATCAACCAAACAAACCCGAAAATGCTCACACCCGGATGACCAGTGGGGTGGAGAAAAATCGGACGCTGTCTGCCACTACAGCATGCAAAGAATCTTTTCTTTTCTTATTTCTTCAAAAGATTTTTTATCGTAAACTATTTATCTAATCTACGATCTGATTGCACCCCTAAATTCGTTACAATTAAATCTTTACAACAAGACCACACATGATTATATTTCGACAAAAAAATATTTTATTTTTTTTATTGATTTTTTTAATGTTGCATGTGGCCTCTTTTGATGTTTCAACCAGTAGTTTTACAGTGTTTCAGCTAGTGTACTCATGATGTTTCACTGTGTATGGATCAAATGTTGCAGTGGAACGCGCCGTTGCAATAAATCACCCACATATTTTGGAAACCCTCTATTAAGGGAATTTGGTTTTTTTTCCACAAAAAATGTTTCACCTAGTGAACTCACAATATTCCACTATGTATAGATCTAATGTTGCAGTGAACTGAAATATTTCATTGCAATAAAAACCCACATATTTTGGAAACCTCCTATTAAGGGAATTCGTTTCATTTTTTGTTTCACCGAAAAATGTTCCACCTAGTGTACTTATAATGTTTCACTATAATGTTTCACTATGTATAGATCTAATGTTGCAGTGAACTGAAATATTCTTTCGCTATTTGCTGAAACATTGTTTTTATATAAGGTGAAACAACACCAAATTTAAATGAGTGAAACATTTGAACAATTCCGATATATCTGGTGGAACATCGTGTAACATTTAAAAATAATTTAATAATAAGCTAAATTTTTTTTCATCGGAATATATCCATGTGTGATCTTGTTTTGAAGATTTAATTGCAATGAATTTAATGGTGTAATCGAATCATAATTTAGATAAGTAATTTAAAAAAAAATCAGTTTAAAAGTAGTTTTGCACGTCCCTCCAGCATCAGCATCGGACGTCCGACGGCGTAGCCCTCTCCAAACAAACCTTTCGAAACCCCTTTCCCTTTCTCTACCCGCAAAACCCCATCAGTCTGCTGCGGCCATAGCGAACTGTAGGGTAGCTTCGCCTTAGATGGCGCTCGCTAGGGTTTCTCCCCCCGCGTTCTCCTCCCCCTTCCTGATCCATTCCTTACTGCGCCCCTTCTCTTCGCCCTCCTCCGTCTTGCGCCCTCGCGTGACTCGCGTCCCCCACCACCGAGGCTTCGCCATCGCCGCCGCCTTATCTCAGGCCTCTCCGCTTCCCTCTGCGGACGGGGATGGGGCGGTGATGGAGGCGCCGCCGCGGCCGAGCTCCAGGCGCCCATGGAAGCCCACGTGCCTGTACTACACCCAGGGGAAATGCACCATGGTGGGATTTTCCTTCCCTTTCTCGCGATTCACTGTCGTTTGGTTAATGTAATTTTCTGTTGCCCCTTGTGACCTGCGGTTCAGGTGGGTTGGATACCGTATCAATAGGTTAGATTCAGGTTCAGGTGGGTGGGTACCGTATCAATTAGGTTAGATTCAGTGCATGAGTTAATAATTAAATATGAGGATGTGAGTTTGAACTTGATGCTGGGAGAAGATAATCTCTTGTGGAGTTGTTGTTATTTTGTGGAGAAGTATAATAGTATTGATTAGTAAAACCTTAGCCTTGTAGGAGCGTCAAATTATAACAATGCCTGTATCCTCCGCTTGCTTAATTACCTTTTTAAGCCATGCACTACTGGATTTCCTGCAGTGAACCAGCTATTCTACCTCATGAATTTGGGTGTGCCAATTAATCATCCAGTGTGCTAGCTTTGAGTGAGACATGCTACTGCCTGCTGTACTGAATTTGTCGTATGACCATTCTTAAAATTGTATCTGTCGCTAAAGTTGCTCTATGGGCTGGTGTTTTTCCCCATTTCTTTTTTTAGAAACCATGTTTGCGGACGCTGCAATGAAAGCTGTAGTTTCTTAATCTGCACTGCGTATTGCTTTGAATTTGTGGCTAGCAATTTTGTTTGAGGCTGTAGGTGGGCAAAACATTTTGTTTGAGCCTTGTTTCTTACATAAAAATGGGCCTAACTTGAGGTTTTTGTAATTGAGAAAAACATTTGTCAGAGTAGACACGACTAGTTAAGAAAGCTTAGCCATAGAATGGCAAAGCATATATTTGTCTGGAAAAAATAAAAGGCAGTCTAGTTAGTGTACCCAATCATGGGCCAAAACAATTAAGTGGGACACTTGCAATGTTTGTGAAAGAGGAACAAATTTAGGATTCTAGCTTTGCTAATCTCCTACATGGTAGAGCAGTTGGCTGACAATGGATACCTCCCATCCCATGGTCAGTTTCTGATATGAACAAAGCATAGAAGGAAGGAGAATCTGCAATTCTGCATGGAATGTTACCTTAGTATCATCAAATAATATCCACGGTTGCTATGTTGTCTGTTGTCTGCTAGAAGTGCTTCCTTTGATGCTCATTCAGAAAAGTTCAATAGTTTACTAATCTTGAAGCACTGTGGTTAATATCAGGTGAGACATCAATCTGTCTCAGCATATAAAATAAATCAAATTGTAGATTACATATAGCTGCACAGTTGGGGGGTATAAGTTTGGATTGCGTTAAAGATTTGATCTTCTCAGATTAGTGCAAATTCGTCTCACTTACTATTGTCAAACTTCCCTTAATTTGTAAACTTTTATAAAAGTGGAGTACTTAATTGGCATAATTTGTATATACATAAGCACCATATTTTATTGCTTAGCAAGGATATGTAACCCATTTGAATCTGACTTTCAAACCACAACCTTAGTGCAATACAAGCTGCTTGGCTGAACAGTATTTATGACTCTACTGTCCTTCCTTCAATCTTCATTGCTTCCTACAATTGTAAACTGTTGGTTGTCGTATTGCTCCAATGATTAATACTACCTTTTATTCTTTGTAGCCTTGTCTGTAGTTTGTTGGCTCTTAATTTTGCTGAATAAAAAAAATCTGAGGCTAAACATTTTCTATCTGTGCTATATTGCCTTGACACTTGCACACTGAACCTAGCTCACAGGCCATGGCTACAATCTCTCAAATGCTGTCTACAAAGTAAGTTTTAATTAGTATTTTTTTTAAATTCTGGGAAGCAATACACATTTTAGGATGCAACTGTTGCTCTCATGCTGATTTAATCCGTTTTTATGTTATTTTTCAGAAATACACTATATGTTGCATCAAGCCTCTCATCATCTTCTTGTTAGCTTATTAGCCACAGCCAAAATTTGAATTTTGAAACTTAATTTTGGAGTTGATTTTGGGGTTTTTAGAACCTGGTCTATTTTCCAGCATTGGCTTTTAAACCACTAATAACACAGATATCAAAGTTTTACACAGCAATTATTTCCAGTTGCTTCTTTTATTTCTCCATGTCTTATGAGCCGTAGCTCAAACGGTCAGAGATTATGTTTTAAGACTTTTTTGTGTTCTATCTTCTTCATGTGCAAGCAGCCAAACAATTAGCTTCATCTTTGTGCAGCACGACATCATTAATCATGCCCTAACATGACATGGATACGCCAAAAGCAAAGCTGCAAATGAAAATGTGCGCATTTGTTAGAAAGGGTGGTTTGATGCTTATGTCTTCACCAGATTCCACCTAACTAGAACAACTTTAGCCTTCCAGTTCTGTAAAACCATTAGCATGGTATTTAATGGTCTTTTTTTAAGGTGAGGGGAAATTTTCCCTACCCTTTTCCTAGAGTCAAATATTTTATTTGTCACCTCTCATGCTCTCTAAAATGTACTCCCTCCATTTCAAAATATAGGGCGTATTTTGTCTTATTAGGACAAGGCTTTGACTAACTTCTTTCCTAATATATTCTTTATGTGACACAAAAGTATAACCATAAGAAAGTAGTTTTGAAGACGAATCTAATAACATCAATTTTGCCTCACAAAAATTATATTATAATAGAGTAATTGTTGGTCAAAGTTGTCTGAAGAAAACAAAATACGCTTTATATTTTGAAATGGAGGGAGTAAGAGGTAATAATGGGTATTTGGCAACTTTTGATTGCCTTATGACAACTTAATTGAATTTTAGTTACAGCACATAGGTTTCTTAAATTCGTGAATATGTACAGAATCAGGATATTAAGTAACCTAAACCCAATAGGAAATAATTATTGCAGTAACCGTAGTTTTCAACCACATACAATGACTAAAATGTTGTTGACATGTATTAGAACCCCTTTTTTGGTAATGAACCCCCACATGCAACTTGAGAGGACACTGCATATTTTATAAGATTGAACATATATAGTTCTTAAACGTGAGAATCTACTACTGACGATGCTAATTATTGTTACCATCGTATCAATCATTTGATAAGTAATATTATGATTCTATCTAGGAGGAAGAGACAATAAAACCAGTGTAAAGTTGTAAACATTACAAAAAATGGAATTTTAAAATAGTTTTCAAAAAGCAGCAAAAAAACACGATGGAGCATCTGAAAAACACCATTAACAAATAATCTCTAAAGGTAACAGGCATAGACTATCCAAACAACATATGAGAAATGCCATTTCATAATCTATTCTGAACTTGGCATGGGTATCAAGTAAGCATACCATCAAGAAACTTGTTGTGCGGGTAGATGGGGCATCTTCCGGATCATCATTGAAATGCACTGCTATGGGAGCACAATATAATTAAATTGAACCAAAATTGCATCTTATGTTTTCTTACCAGTTCTTGATGTGGAAACCCAACCATAGGATCACAGGGAGAAGCAGCCAGGCAAACGGTTGTGCTGGCTCAGTATGCATGGAGCCCATAATCACACGTTGCAATTCAAACCTTTATTATTTGAGGATTTAGGAAGAGAGGACATCACCTTAACCTGCGGCTTCTGCTCTGCTTCTCCATGATCAGCATAGTGGCTACGGCTCACTCATCAAAGCGTTGCGTAGTGCCCTAACCCACAAATCACTCTGTCAATTGCTTGTATTGTTTCAGATAACGTGCTTCTACAAATGATCCCTCACTACCTGAATCATGTATGCCTAGAAAACATCCATAATGCACTACATGAATATCAACACAAGTGCCTTCATAGTGCACTACCTGAATCATGTCTGCCTAGTAAACATCCTGCTAAAATCATCCTAGATGAAACATTGGCATAAGGCTGTTATTATCGCAGGCTTCTTGTTGACCCCATAAAAAACATTTGGAAACAGTGTCTCTAAATTCCCATCCCAGCAAACTAAAATGTTGTTTATAAAAATGCGAGTAGCACCAATCAGTGATTATAGCAGCTCATTCCTCATGCAGAGAGAGAGGTTAGAATAAGGATGACTATGCATTCAGGATAGTCTTAACAAAACTAACAACCTTGACTAACCTGGCATAGAGATCATGTGTGTGCAATCCCGAGAAAGGTACTAAATCACCACATGTGAATCGATAGAAGAGATCATACAGATATTTGTGATGAGCCCCTGCAATATGTCCACAGGCAAAACAAGCTCAGAGACTTGCTTAGGAGCACAATAAAAGACAAATCATGTAATTACAAGCACCAAATTTCTGTTCTGTTTTCTTACTTTTTATACAACCCCCTACTGGGAATAAACTAAGCATGTTCTTGTTGATAGTTGATTGACATTGATGATTCACTGAAATATTTGTTAAATCTAAATTACTTTCCACTGGAAACATAATAACAAATCCAAGGAAGGAGGTTCTGCATGTAAACCTACAAGGATAATTCACAGAAACGTACTCAGACTTTAGTAGTACCTCAAGACATTTCATCGAGCAGTTCATGAGCACCAAAAACGTCTAATGTTTTCCTCCTCTTCCTTGTTCTCTCTGCATCCTTCTATTCTCTGGCCATAGCAGCAGCACACGGCAGCACATACATTGGCAGGAGGTCAGCGCAGAGCGGAAGCAAATCCACAACAAATCGGCAAGAGCAAGGTGATGGCAGCAACAGCAACAACAGCACAGGGAGGACGTTGACGGTGGGTTTTTCTTTTTGCCATCAGCGGTTGGGGCGACAGGGTGGAGGCAGCGCGAGGGAAGGGAGGCCCTAGCGACCCGGCATGGAGGCTAAGGAGGGAGAGGAGACAGTGCGAGGGACATGAGGTCCCTTCGATCCGGCGACGGTGACGGCGACAGTGGTGGCGCGGTGGAGGAGCCATCGGCAGGGGAGGAGGGATGCCGAAGGGATGGGGCGTTGGTGGTGGGAACCGTCGCGGGAGAGATTGGGCACGGGTGGAGGGAAAGGAGCGTGGAGGGATCAATCTGGGAGCGCAGCTAGATGGATCGATCAGGAGTGCTGGATCTCGCGATTGTACGGTTAATATTACGCGTGTCTGTCAGGGTTGGATTCACCGCCACCACTACGTTGTTTTGAAGTAATATAGATATAGATTACCAGATAGATTTCTTGAAAACATTCTTAATATTAGGATTGATTTATACCCCCTAAAGAAAATAGAATTTAATATATTAGTTGAAAGTGTTGGACAGAATTGTTGAGATATCCTATACAAAAGAATAGATATACAAATTTAAGTCTGGGCTCTTTAGAACCCTCGACACTAATTTCCTAAAAAGTTAAAAATAACTTTGTGTTTGTAAACTCTAATGGTTAAAGGGGATCAATGAATCTTCTGCAGTTCTGCTAAGAATATCATCCAAAAGAAGTAAGGAAAATGCATAGCTACTTTAAACTTCTATGAATTCTTTCCTAGAGGCCCAAATAGTGTTACGTTTATTTCATCATAAACTAGATTTGCTGTATAACTTGAATTAAGATTAATACAGATTAGGCTGCCAGTAGCATGACTTCTCTATGGGCTGAGGTTTTTTTTTCTATATTTGTTATAGATCATTCTGTTTGAATGTTTTCCAGACATATTTGGAACTCTTTTACATACTAGCTTGCAATTGAGAATTGTCTATTTATTGGAAGCACTGTTGTAATTGAGATTTATACTTCTTCAGTTGAATGATACTTTGCATCTTGAGAAATTCAATCACAATCTGCCAACAGACCTTCCAGTGAATTATTCAGCTGCAGATAAAGTGAAATCTCAGAAATTGGATTACTTTTTGGTCCTTGATTTGGAAGGTAAGGTTGAAATTCTTGAATTCCCAGTTGTAATGATTGATGCCCAAAGCATGGAGTTCGTCGATTCATTTCACAGGTATAGCCCATCTGTACATTAATAGTTATTGAAATATTCTTCTCAATACATAAGACTATTTGAATGATTACCAAACTCGCCCCCAAACATAGATGAGTTTTGCAACTTTTATTTCTCTAATTTCTTGTGAATATTCTTTGGTGGTAATATAGTTCTTTATTAGTTTAAATACAGAAGGTTTAGCTTTGTATGGTTCTCATTTCACTCAGTTGAGCACCAAGAACTATTATCAAGATTAGTGAGAAATTTAATCGAAGAACTATGAGATTAAGATTTAAGATGCAATATTTGAATCCCTTTTGTGGAATATGTTGTCTTTTTTACTTCGATTTTTTTTTTTTGAAAATATGTTCACTCATTCTGACTTACCGATATTATACTTCCCTCAACCATCTAAGGATCCTGCCTCTCTTTTGCAACTCGTTTGTTAGAGTGTTTTTCTCTTTTCCCGTCACTCTACTCAAGGCTAGTTGATCATCAAACTTCCCACAAGACCATCTCTTACGGAGAAAATTCTTGAAAACTTATGCAAATTTATAGTTTTCAAAGCTTTCAACAAAAAAGGGGCACTTAAGAGAAATCATAAATTCCTGTAAGAACTTTTTACAACACAATTGAGGAATATTGAAAATTTTTCATTATTTCAACATATATATTTGAGGAAAATTTGATGTAACTATACTATTCGAAAGCGCCTCAATCATTTCAATTTTCATGCGGTGAACCTAAAAAAGTTCTCTAGGGTATTTTTATTTGTGAAATTATGAAAGATTTGTTTCAGGGTAATCCATGATCTTTTTCAGGATTTTTGTATTCTTTTTCGATTTTTTATTAAGTTAACTTCATAACGGCATTATTCTTAAAAGTAAATTTGGTTGTAACCAGTGTTGACTGAGCATGGATGCCAAAAAGGAGAGATTTAGTGGTTTAGTAACGGAAGAGGGGCAAGGAGAGGTTTACTGTTGACTGAACAGGGATGGTAGAAAACATAATATAGTCTTAAAACTCGCAATGAATGGCAAAATTAAAATTTCAGTATATTGTTCTGTTTCATACAGGAGAGCCCATGCTGGTTGAGATGTGTAATAATTGAGTGAATTAAAACATATAAGCATATAACTGAATACAAATTAAATTTTTAGGAAGGTATTCCCTCCGTTTCATATTATAAGACTTTCTAGCATTGCCCATATTCATATAGATGTTAATGAATCTAAACACATATATATGTCTAGATTCATTAACATATATATGAATGTGGGCAATGCTATAAAGTCTTATAATATGAAACGGAGGAAGTACATTTTATGACTAGATGGATGCACATAAACCGCTACAATTGGAAATTTTGCAACAGCTATACTGCAGCTAGAGTGTGTCTAGGGATTCATGGACAAACAACAGAACCAAAAATATTTTTCCTGGTTTTACTTTTCTGTTCTTATCCAATGGTTCTGCATGACTCAAGTTCTTAATTTCCTCCCAAAAATATCCTTTTGAATTTCTACTTTCTAAAAGAAAGAATCAAGGTCCTGAATTTACATGCTGTTTGTTCTTTGCAAAATCTAAAAACCATAGGATATCAATATCATGAATATGGGCAATGCATGTTTGGTTGAGTGCCAACCTTTGCTAAACTTGTGGCAACCAAGTTTGACCAACTAAGGCTAGCGTTTGGTTCATGCCACAAGTGAGTTATGCCACACTTTCTGTTAGCTGGTCCACTTGTCATAGAGTGAATTTTTTGCCACAACTTGTCACAATTGTGGCCAACAAATTCTTGGCCACACAATGTGCGGCATGCCACACGCCAAATATATTGTTATGGAACCATCCAAACAGCCCATATATACCACACATGCAGAAAATATCCTCTAAAGACATGCCATTTTAGCTGGTGTCATGGGCATTGGGCTTAGAGGCGACCCACTGGACAGCCCAATACATGGTGTGTGAATAATACTCGCATGATAGTGTAGCATTTGTTACAGTCAGACAAATTATATCAGCTGTTTCTTTCTTGTGTGATGCTGTAAGTTTGAATAGACATCTAAATATTTTAAATAAGTGAGAAAAATGTGACACTGTAACATTGTATAACTTAGTATATGCAATATTTCATATTGTTTTATTCGTTTGTGATGTTAATCCTTTCTGTATTTTCTTGCCTTTTCAGTAATATCAGTTACTATCTCTATCCCCTCGTGTGTTGCTTGTAGGTTTGTACACCCTACTGCGATGAGTGAGCAAAGAATAAGAGAATATATTGAAGGGAAATATGGGAAATTTGGAGTTGACCGGTATTTGTAGCACTATTTAACTCTGTTTCTCACTGCAGAATAACTTGTTTGATGATTTGATCGTAATTTTCAGTAGCTATACATCATTAACTATTTTGCTGTTAAAGCGGGAGTCGTTTTTTTTTTCCTTAACATAGGTTCAGTTAGTCTTATCATGAATGTAACCCATGAATTGGCTGGTTATATGGATACATCTAGAGGCGAATCAAACCCTTTAGCTTGTAAAATTTCTAGATTCTTCAGTTGTCTTATTTATCATTTTCTTTATGAGTTTGTAACTTCAGTTTGTGATGTTCTAAACTGTATCCACTGGTCTAGGTTTAATCTAGTTTGGTTTGCTTTATTTCTTGTATAAAATGTTCTATATATTTTATTTCTTGATTGCATTCCTTCTTATGGATTGAGTTTTGTATACCACTATCCTTTTGGTAAAACTGTGTTTTGTCATCAACCCATCTTCATTAGTCACCTGTATTTTATGCATATTATCACTTTGTGTTTGCAGTGTTATTCCATTGTCATCCTAAAATATTTCTATGATCTAGAATTCTTGACGTGCATTTGTTAACTCTAGATATGTGGAAGTAATATGTACTAATTTGTTGTGTAATATGTAGTGTATGGCATGATACTGCTATACCTTTCATGGAAGTACTTCAAGAGTTTGAAGACTGGATCGAACATCACAAATTTTGGAAAAAGGAGCAAGGAGGAGCACTCAACAGTGCAGCATTCATCACTTGGTAATTTATTGCTGCTAATGTTATAAATTTTAGGGAAGTACTGATATATTCTTTCAGTTATGCCATTGCACTTGTGCAAAAAAGATGTTATTTGTACTTGTAGTTTGATAGTGTCTGCATTCTTTTAGGTTTAGGATCCTGGTGGAACAGGAACTTTGGAAAATTTTGGAGGTTAGAGTTGATTGAAAAGTATGTCATACTTTGTTTCACAAATTTTCTTGGTGGGTTTTGTGTTGCATCTAGTACATATCTCCTTAATTCATGGCTGGAATTCGAGTTAACAGTGATGCTTTAGATTCTATATATTACTATCAGTGTAATCCTCGTGTGTTCATAAATATTGCAGTGGGAATTGGGATCTGAAGACAAAGGTACCTGAACAGTGCAGGGTTTCAAAAATTAAGTTACCTTCTTACTTTATGGAGTGGATCAATTTGAAGGATATCTATCTCAACTTCTATAACAGAAGGGTAGCTAAACTCAACCCATTAGCCCATTACATATTGTTCTGTTGGAATTCAGATTTGTTGTTCATTTTGTTCATGATGAGAGTCAATGTGCATCCATGAATATTTAATATTTATTGTGTTTTGCTAGGCTACCGGAATGATGACAATGATGAGGGAGCTACAAATGCCAATCGTCGGAAGCCATCATCTCGGTATAGATGATGCAAAAAATATAGCAAGGGTTGTTCAGCGTATGCTAGCTGATGGTGCTGTAATGCAAATTACTGCAAAGAGGCAATCAGCTACTGGCGATGTGAAATTTCTTTTCAAGAATCGGATCAGGTAAAAGGAGCATTATGGGATGTAATTATTTACACACAGCAGCTAGAAGATGAGAAGATGCCCTCCGGTGAAATGAAACAATAGTTTGGCCCTAGTAACCGCTTGGGAGTTGGGACCAGAGAAGTGTTGGACTGCTGATGGTTCATGTTGGGTCAAGGCGTCAAAGGCAAGAGAATGAAGCTCCCAAATTCCAAGGTTCTGCAAATGCCTTTCCACGGGAGAGATGCCAGTAGCCCAGTATACCAGAGGCCTTGTTGCCCAAAAAGGAACCGCAAAGAAGTGTAGGAGCTCACATGCGGTGGTCTGGTAAATCTGACCCTGTTTTGCTTTTGGCACTGACAGTAATACGCGTACACCCGAATGGCCGAATATGTGCTTTGTCCTATACTCCACGTACTTCATCTATCTTACATTATAAGATGTTTTGTTTTGAATAGATTCATACATGATCTATGTATGTCCCTTTATATATATGTGTTTAAATTTAATAGATGTTAGTGAGGGACGGAGAGAAACATCTTATCAATTATAATGTGGAACGGTGTACTTGAGTTTTTTGCCTGAGCTGAAATGTTTTAGAATTGTTTCATTTGTTAAATATGTAAGCCCTTGTATTTCTTTTTCAATTACATAAAAACAGACGCGCCACCACCACACCAAATATGATTTCCATGTGAGCTCTTAAAATTATATTTGTTGATGTACTGTTATTAACAGAATACACCTTAGCGGTAATAAATGCCTGCTTCAGTACGTAGCTTTTCATGGCATTTTGATAATATAATGACATGAGAGTGTGAGACTAGATTGCCGTCGTTATACTGCTACAAGTTCAATGGCAAAACATACACTAAAAGATATTGGGCTTATATTTAATTGCTCATAAATGCAATCTTTTGTATACAAGTATCGACAAACCGAGGCTTATACTGAATTATTGTTAGATACTCTGTCCGTTCCAATATAAGTGCACTTCAGAATTTATTGTTAGATACTCTATCCGTGTACTTTAGAATTGGATGTGACATTTTAGAATTGGATGTGACATTTTATACGTGTTTAGACTTGTTGTATTAAGTGTCACATTTAATCCTAGATGCACTGATATTAGGATGGAGGGAGTAAAACTTTTTTGGTTCATGTGACCGGCCGTTCTTGTAAGCTTTGGTTGGGTGCAGCTAATCTTTTATAAGAGCGAGTACAATAGCATGCTATAAGTCAGCTGTAAGCACATGGAGAAGAGAAGCAATATGCTATAAGTCAGCTGTAAGCACATATGGAGAAGAGAAGTAGTATGCTACAAGTCAGCTGTAAGCACATATGGAGAAGAGAAGAGAGAAGGAAAGCGGACTACAAATTTGTAGCTAGCTGCAGCACAAACTCTAATATGTTGTGTGTATGAGAAGTGGGACCATATATTAACTATAATGCGTTATGTGTGTATGAGAAATGGGACTATATATTAATTATTGTATAAATAAGCTATTAGATTAGCTATGGACAATTGAAGCTAGCAGTTGGCTATACTATTAAACTTGCTCTAAGCAAATAGCACAAATTAATCGGCAACTGAAGGTAGCCCCACGCTCGGCATCCTTTTAGAGCAAGTTTAATAGTATAGCCAACTACTAGCTACAAATCATCTATAGCCAATGTAATAACCAATTCATATAATAGTTGCTTACTATGTTATTAATACCTGGTCCCACCTGTCATATACACATTACGTTTTGGAGTCCGTGCTGCAGCTGGTTATAGATCTATAGCCCGTTGCTTTTCTCTTTCTTCCTTTTATCTCTTTAAAATATGTTTATAGCTGGTTTATAGCCTGCTATTATATCTGCTCTTAGCTATCTGCCACCAATGGTGTGGTAACCGAGGATGAAAGCGACCAGGGCACAGGGCACAGTTCCCCATGACACAATCACCTAGATTATATTATTAGGGCACTAATCACCTTTCTTTTCCCTAATCACCTATGGAACTTCTTTCCATGCAATGCAAAGCCAAGCATGTAATGACACCTCAAACAAAACACCATTAGCTTGGAGAGTGTGCGTCTGGTCACATGATGTTTAGTTAATGGCCAATTGTGCCATTTTGGACGTAGCACATACAATAGCTCGCACAATTATTGTGCAAAATTACAATTCCTACAGCACGAAAACAACAACAAAGTATACAGATTCACATCGCTCGTAAGAGGGTTACAAAGGTGAATTGAGAGCTGAACTAGGGTTTTCCGGATTTCGAAAAGTCTCCCTCCTAGTGGTAAGACCCCTCCTTTTTATAGTCTAAGGCGGTGTACATGCATTGCCATAGTTTCCTTGGCATATATACAGACATGCGTACGTATATGTGTGTGCATATATATATGGCGGTGTATTTGGAGTGGAAAATTGGCATTTAACTATTTGCCACTTTTAAACGTGAGAATAAGGATTTGCCACTCGCACTTTATGATATTTGGGTTTAGTGGCAAATCCTTAATTATCACCTGTAAAAGTGGCAAATAGTTAAATATCTTGGAAAATTTTGGTGGCACAATATTTCAACATGGAAAACATATTAATTAGAGTAGGAAAAGAATCCATTTTACGTTCTTGAACTATTTGCTATATGCTCCATCTATTTTAAAATATAAGGATTTATATATTTGCGATGGAGAGAGTAGAAAATACTAAGATTCGGTCAAAAGAAGATTCTATTTTAGTCAGTTCAGTTGTTAATTTTTAAATTTTGAATTGCTTATATATTCTCTTCTCAACAATCTTATTGGCTTCAGAATTGTTGCAATCATTAGAATATGGGAATCAATGCAGAAATACTTATATTGTTGAAACGAAGGGAGTAGCATTTAATTCCTTAAAAGAATCTTTTCGCTCATTTTAACAATTCCCCCACCACCCCAACCCCACCACCACCACCCTAAAACTACTCACTGTACTCCTAATATTATTTTCATTTTTTTTCTCTATACAAGTCACATTTGAAGTTTTATTTTTGTATATGGACAGATAACATACACCTATGTTGTAAACTGTTGGAGGCATGCCATGAAGCCCTTCGGCCGGACCTGCCGAAACCGTAGTACCAGCAAGGATTCAAACTAAAGACGTCAAGACCATTTAGGCGAAGCCCTATGGCGAAAGCCATAAGCGAAGATGGCGAAGGCTGGAAAGCCGCGTCGGTACTCCGAAAGTAAAGGCATCTTGGGCGAACTACAAAGACTTCGCCATAACGAGTTCGGCATCAAGGAGGCCCAACAGGACACCCCGGTCTTTTAGGCCCGTTCGCTATAGACCAGGCCCAGCCTATCAGCCCATTAAAGGCCCATATGTGCAAATGATACTGCGTACCCATGTAAATGTCCCTTTCAGAAGTTAAAGTGAACATTTTTCTGGGTAGGTTACATTGCCCAAAAAAGGCTCCATCCTCGTTCTTATCACTCCTGTAAACACATCACATATACTGGTCAATACATGATCCTTATCGTGGGCTTGAATTAACCTCTCTCTTGGCCGTTTGATAAATTATTTCTCTCACTTTACTAGCCACGAATCTAGTACTACGATCAACTAATAGGTCGACTTCCAATCGATCGCCAGCATTCATATACTAATTAATTTATAGGGTTATTTGCATTAATCATTTATTGAATTTAGTATATTTTTGATCAGTGCATTTGACAGACACGAATCATATACTCCCCAGTCCTAAAATATAGGACTCCTAAGTTTTAGTTATGAATTTGCTACGAATCGCACAAGAACGTGTATGTCTAGATTTATAACTAAGAGTTACTACTTTTATACAGAGAAAACAGCACATATCACTATAAAATAACCATAACATGCATAGGCCACTATGAAACGGATACAAGTCGATGACCGTGCTTTCACCGTACAGTGCCACTCAAAAGAGATAAAAATATAGCCCTACTTAAGAGTTAAGACCGCACGGCAATAGGGTGGCACCAAACAGGGCAACATTGGCGGGCATACAGGCCCTGCCTTGGCTTGTACTGCATGGCTGCTGTCGTTTTCGTTGGGTTGTGGTATAACCTTGGTGGTTGCAGCTTCAAGCTACGGTAAGCTGCGGTGTTCCCGACGAATTGACTCGTCTCCAGCTGATGAGTGGTCTATGCTAGCTGTTTGTTCCTGTGTGTATCTAGGGGGCTCCAAATGCAGGCAGCAACGCTACTATTGAGGGCTGTGTTTACACTAGGGGTGAAAAATTTTGTCGCGTGACATTATATATACGGACACACATTTAAAATATTAAATATAGATTAATAATAAAACAAATTATAGATTCCACCTGTAAACTGCGAGACAAATTTATTAACTTAATTAATATGTCATTAGCAAAAGTTTACTGTAGCACCACATTATCAAATCATGAAGCAATTAGGCTTAAAAGATTTATCTCGCAATTTACACGCAATTTGTGTAATTAGTTTTTTTTGTCTGTATTTAATACTATATGCATGTGTCTAAATATTCGATGTGACAAAGTGAAAAGTTTTTTTTTGCATGGAAACTAAACAGGACCTGAATTTTCCATTCCTTTGCTCTTATTTTTCATGCACACGTTTTTCCGAACTATTAAACTGAGTTTATTTTGCAAATTTTTCTATAGAAAAATTATTGTAAAAATCATATTAAGCCATTTTTCAAGTTTTTAAACTAATACTTAATTAATCGTGTATTAATCTGTCAGTCTGTTACTTGCAAAGGTCATAAACACGCTAATAGCGATTGGTGTTAAGTTCTTTACGTTAAAATAATAAATATGAGAGTGTTAAAAACTTTGAGTTGAAGGTTTTAAAATGAGTTGAAAGTTTCAGGTTTGAGCTAAAAGATTAAAAATTGAATTGAAAGTTTTAAAAATTGAGTTTAGTGAAAGTTTACTATACTTTTTAAATTTTGAAATAAATCTCTGTTGAAAAAGTATCTATTTCAATTTTTTAATCAAATTTAAACAGCACTAAAAAAAGATGTGCATGTGTGCTATCAGCACAACTGCGCGAAATAGCTCCACTATGTATCTATCTAATTAAGGGCATGTTTGGTGAAGTTTCAACTCCTAAATTTAACTCTATGAGTTAGGTCTAGAGCGGAGTTGTGGAGCTAACTAAACCTTACCCAGCTCCACCTTTCTAATTCATTTTATGAGATCACTCCATTTAGTTCCACTCCCATTTTTAGTGGAGTTGAAACCGTTTAGTTGGGCTCCAACTCAACGAAAGGTGGAGTTGGGCTAGAGATATGCCAAACATGCCCTAAGTAGATTTCTTCTCAAAAAAAAAAGAGAAAATAAAGTAGGTTCTATTGATGGGCCAAATTTGCACCTTGCAACATCCTGGCCTAATCAGAATTTGGATTGTGTAGCACATGACAGCTATGTGTGCATGTTTAGTATCACCTTGCTAGCTAGTTTAGCAAGAGTGGAACCAATTTATAAGGGTATGTCCCTCTAACCATATTATTTCCGGGTTAACCCTTTTACATGAAGTGAAGATGAAAATTTAAGTGAAGTGATATGTGTAAGTGGGCCTGTCCATCTGATGCTATTAACGCCAAAATTTGGTAAGAT